CCTTGACTGTGTTAGCCATCACCGACCATCACAGCCACGTCAAAACTCCGAGTGACTTCCCCCCTTTTTATCCTCTCTTTAATCTTCACTTTTTTTCAGTGTTTTTAAAACCCGTCCGCCTGACGGTCAACCGGTGAACCGGTTCCCAAATCGGACCGGGTCTATAAAAGACCGTTTATATACGAAACCCGATAAATAATCCGTTGAACCGGTGAGAACCAGACGAGTTTAGAAAACCAGCCGGTTTAATTTCATTTCGATAAATGTGAGAATTTTTCAACTTTTTGGCATTTTCTATTTTTAACCCATTTGTTTTGCCCTAAATCGTTCCAGACTAGCAACCACAGCCACCACTCCAGCCCACCAGCGATCAGTCTCCACTCAGCAGTGATCAGGCAACGACCAACGACTGATGATCAACAGCGATCAGCCTCCACCACCAACGACTGACCAGCCTCCAATCCAGTGAGTTTCCCTCTCTCTCTCTCTCCCCCCTTTTCTGTGTCTCTTTTGCGCTTCAATCCATGAAGGGAAGGTTGGGGATTCAAGTGGGAAGGTTGTGTCCGTCATGGATTGGTGGTTTTGATTCAAGTGGCTGTACAGATCTTTTTTTAGTTAATCTTTTATGTGTTTCAGTTTTTCTGTTTAATTTTGATTATGTAGTTGTCATTAATGGCACCCTCTTTGGTTTGAAACTTTCAAGTTCAGTAAGAATCAATAGTGTCAAGTGTGAAGACTTTGAAGACCTAAGGCCCAGGGTTCCTGATGTAATCCTGCAAAACCATTAAGTACTTTGGGATATAGGGACTTAATAGTTACAGAAATTCAAACTCTAAAATATAAGGGTATTGCAGTGAACTTGGATGTCATTGTCGATTTCTTTTGAACAACCACTGATATAGTCAGTCCATATTAATGCACTTTACACAAATTCATTGCCTATGTGATGTAAAAACACAACGACATGACTATTACCCGCAGCTTTGATACTTTGAATAGAGTTGTTTTTGCCTTTTGATGGATTTGGTTTGGCTGATTGTGGAAATTCCAACCAGCAGCTTGAGCATTGTTCAGAATAATATTTGTGGCTGATTGTGGTAATATTTGTATTTTCAAGTGGAACTTGGCAGTGATTGGATAATTTATTTTCAGTTTCGTTTATTTGAGTCTTTATGTTATGCTCATGTGTTTTGTTTTGTTTTCATGTGTCTTGCTTACTACAGTTTGAGTATGAAGTTTGAACTTTGAAGAGTGAAAATTACATGGATTATGCTTAAATTGATACATTGTGGAAGAGTTGGACTTAGACTTGGAGCCTTAAACTTCAATAGATGTATTTTTCTCTACTTAACTTTACAAGTTGTATTGAAAATTGAATACATTGAAATTGGATACATGTTTGATGATTTTTCTTTACTTAACTTTACATGTTTGATGTTATTTTTATAATTATTGGGATTTTTTAGCTTATTTATTGTTATTTATAATTATTTTTAATTTTTTATTATATTACCGGTTCGACTAGTGACCCAACGGTTGAATCAGTGATCCATTGATCTGGTCCCTTCACCGAGTTAATGTCCGGACCGGGTTTTCAAACTATGTTTTTTTTCCTCCTCCATCTTCTCTTTCTTTCTACAATTGACCCCCACCACCCCCCACCTTGAACCAATGAACCCTAAGCCTATGCATCATCACCATTTGGCCTCTTACACATTGGAGCCACCACAATCCAGTCTCAGCCCCAAATCACCACCACGCACCACCACAGTCCGTTCCTGCCCTCTTCATTACCCTCACAACTCTTGAGCCTTTGCCAACCACCTCAAATCGCTACGACATGGCAAATTTGGATTCACCACCATGAACCAACTCACTGAAACCACCACCCACCCCTCAAGCCCACAGACTAGTGTTTTAAAACCTGGCTCAGTCCGGCGGGTCAACCCGGTGAACCGGTCCCCTAACCAGTTCGGGTCTATTAAAAGACCGTTTGTATAAGGAACCCGGACTAAACCCGTTGAACCGGTCAAAAATCGGTAAACCTGTGAGAACCGGACGAGTTTAACAAACTGATCGATTTAATTTCCTTCCTATAAATCTAAGATTTTTTTTCATTTGGACATTTTTCCCCCTTTGTTTTGCCCTAAATCGTTCACTTCCACCAGACGACACAATCGAGTCGACTGAGCAGCCTCGCAACGCCTCCACCACCAACCAGCGACCGGACTAGCCTCCACTTCAGCACTAACAGCGAGCAGACCACCAGTTGCCTTTCATCGATCGAGACCACTAGGCAGCAGCGGCTGAGTAGAGCTTCACCAGCGACTGAGCACAGCCTCCACCAGCGACGAGGTGAGTTCCCTCCCTTTCTCCCTCTCCCTCTCCATCCCTTTCTCTCGTTCAGTGACTGTAATTAGTCACTTTATTGAAAGTTCTCTTTCTAGGAAAGATGATTCACTTCTGGTTCTGGGTCTCTCTCAGAATCACCATTTTTGTATGTAAAAATACCTACTTTTTCCCCCCTCTTGATGTGATAAAGCCAAAGACCACCTCGTTGTCTTACTTTAGATTTTATTTTTTGTGGTTTTTAGATTACGCAGGTTGATTGATTTTATGTGTTTATTTTACAGACCAAGTGTTATATATGAAATTATTGTTGTTGATCTTGAAATGAAGAATTTTTCGTCCCTGTTTTGTATTTTTTTGGTTTGTCATAGTCACTTGCAATCAGTTTCTTTTTTCTGGGCTTGTGTTTTTTAGTGTGCTTTTCGATTTTTTGGATTATGTAGAAGCCTAGGATTAACCCAGCTGATATATAACTGAATGTGTTGATTTTGCACTTTGAATGGTTGTCCATTTGATGTTTTGATCATCTTGGCACTAACAAAAAAAAAAAATTAGAATATGAGTTATGATGTAATTTTGATAATTTTATGAGTTATGATGCAATATGATTTGCAGAATTCTGATTTAAGTGTTTGATTATTTTACTAGCTGTGATGCAATCTGATTTACTGAAGCAATTTCAAGTTAGTTGATAATAGTGGTAATATTTGTATTTTCAAGTGGAGCTAAGCAATGGTTGGATGATTTATTTTCAGTTTTGTTTATTTGAGTCCTTATGTTATGCTCCCGTGCTTCGTTTTGTTTTCATGTGTCTTGCTTCCTACAGTTTGAGCTTGAAGTTTGAACTTTGAAGAGTGCAAATTATATGGATTATGCTTAGATTGATGTATTGTTGAAAAGTTAAACTTAGACTTGGAGTTTTGAATTTTAATAAGGGTATTTTTTTCTACTGAACTTTACAAGTTGTATTGAAAATTGAATACATTGAAATTAGATACATGTTTGATTTTTTTTTTTTACTTAACTTTACATGTTTGATGTTATTTTTATAATTATTGTGATTTTTTAGCCTATTTATTAGTATTTATAATTATTTTTTAATTTTTTATTATATTACCGGTCCGACCAGTGACCCAACGGTTGAACCAGTGACCCATTAACTCAGTCCCTTTGCCAGGTTGCCATCCGGGCCGGGTTTTAAAACTATGCCATGGACTGCAAATGGCTAATTTGGAATTTCGTCAAAAATATGAAATGGAGTTGTAATTTGATGAATTATGACTGCGAAGGGGTTCATTTTGTCTTTGTTTGGAAATTGTGGGGAAAACAGGTCAAATATGGTCAATTTCACTGGTGGTTTTTTTGTAAGCCTGAAATTTGGTGATGTTACAATCTGTGGATTTAAATCGAGAAGGAATATGCGTGATAGAGTTAAACTGGCAAATTTGGCTGTTCTAAGATGATTTGTTCTTGCTGATTTGAGTTGGAGGATGGGTATGAGTTTGATATTGGCTCAATTTGAGAGTGAATAAAATTGATCACGCAGGCTAAATTTTGCTTGTGTATATGGATTTGAGTTTGCATGTTCTTGTGCATAGGTAGTTAGTGTGTGTGTTGTGGTATGGTGTTTTTCTGCGCGGGTGAACTTGTGTTCTGGATCTATAGAGTGTGTGTATATGTGTTGTGTGTGCGTGTGCGTGCGCGCGTGCGGTGAGTTTGTGTTTGTGTTTTATGTGTTTCTATTTGGTGTAAAAGTATATTTTAGTGTGTCATCTTTTGTGTTTGTGTCCAGTGTATGTGTGTATTTTAGCATGCACTATCTTGTGTCTGTTTTTGGGTCTCTATTATGTGCATGTGTGTGCGCGTATGCATATGTGTTCTGTTATGTGTGTTTCTCGGATTTCCGAAGAGCGAAAAGCCGCACCTCTACTTACCTCATTTTTGGAATCAATTCTCTTACGAACAATCACTAGCTATCACGTGAGACTCGTTTTTTCGCATGTGTGCAAGTGATATATGTATAGTTCTCACATTTCTTAAAAGCTTAAATCTACTGTCAATATCAAAGATAGGTTTGGTTTGCCAGAAAGGATGCAGGAAAGAAAAGGGAAATAAAATTTAAACTATTTTCTTTTCCATTAGCCTACTTGCCTACACATATGGCTCTCTCTCACCTGCACATGGACATAGCGACAACCCCTATCCATAGTTTAGCATATCTCTTTGAAGTTGAGTTGGCCACCATATTTTTGAACTACAGAGTTGGTCCAATTGAGAGTGTTCATGGTCATGTGAATCATAATGATTAGAAGAAAGTAGTATCTGGAATCCAAACTGGGTATTTCCAGAATGAAATAGCTGTTGATTTTGAGGTGCGATTTCTATGTTGTGGGACTGAACACTCTGCTATTCGTAGTCCTGGAGCCTGGGTAATAAAAACAAGACCTTATTTTTTTACTCTTGTGCTCGGTGGTGTGATTGATATTTGCTTTAGCAACCGCAGTGGCTAATTAGCTCCATCATGTGTCATTCTTTGTTTGGCCAAATTTGTTGTTCATCATTCTAACTTTTGTACTAACGTTCCTGCTCCTTGTATGTTTTCGCACGCCAGGTCTAGTGTGGTTTCCAAGGATTGGTTTTAGGTATCAAATGATCGAACAACCAATGGTAATAGATTAATGTGTTACATCTTTTCAAACTGGAGCCTGCCATAGTAATGGCAGATTATATTCAAGACAAAGGATTTAGTATTCCCTGCACCTTCTTTCAATAGACTCGCACATATATAAAGATTCATCAGTCTTTATGGGCCCTTCTCTGGTGAAATGGTTCTAACCTATGTGCGATTATCATAGAAATAATTTGCACTTTGTTTCATCTGAATGCTAGTTCAGTGTTCTTTCCCTCCTCTCCCCTCCCCTCTCTTGTCCTCCCCTTTTCCATCTACTTTCTCCTGAAAAGGAATATTTTTAAGGCGACCCATGAAGCAGATTTAGAAGTGTGATTTCAGAAGTCAACATTTGCTTTTGATCATATTTGCAGTTTTCACCTATTTCTCTTCTAGTTAGTTTTGTTCTTTGTGAATATTCTTCAGTCATTGCCACGCTTTTGATCTTTCCTGTTTTTTCAGGTGATTCACATACCAATAATAATGGAAGCTAAGTTCTTTCGCTTTCTTAAGATTGTCGGTGTTGGTTTCAAAGCCAGAGCTGAATTAGAAGGTCGGCTCTTGTATCTCAAGCTGGGATACAGCCATGAGGTTGAACTTACTGTGCCTCCAGCTGTTCGTGTGTTTTGCTTCAAACCCAATATAGTTTGCTGCACTGGAATTGACAAACAAAGGGTACACCAGTTTGCTGCTGCTGTTCGAAGTTGTAAGCCTCCTGAAGTTTACAAAGGCAAGGGTATAATGTATATTGATGAAGTTATCAAGAAGAAGCAGGGAAAGAAGTCCAAATGATTGCAGAGGTGCATAAATTTGAGCCTAGATTGTTTTATCTTATTTATTAGGACATCGAGGATCATATTCATGAAACTTGAGCTTAATGTGTGCACTTGGATTAGACCATTATTTCCATCTTGAAACTTTGTAATCAGAATTTTGCTTCCATTTTTAGTCTTTTTATCATTATTATTATTACTGCAGTGCACACTATAAGATACGGATATTTCGATGAGATTAATGTATTTGTATCAAATATCATATTAGATACGATATTCGTCGATATTGAAGGATATATATTGGATACACTTCTTATGTATCTGATAATAATAAAATATTTAGATTTTTTTTAGTGCGTAATATTTAGATATTTTGCGGATATTTTTGTAATGCAGCAATATGTATGATTTTTGAATTTAATTTTTAAACATGTTTTTTTGAATTCAAATATTATATAGTACATTAACACAAAATCATGAGTTTTTTTACGTTTTATTTATTATTACATATTAAAAGAGTATAAAATAAAACTATTTATATTTTTAGCAAAAAATACTTTTAAGCAAGTCAACTAACTAAATAGTAGTTTTAATTCTTTTAATTCGTCAATTCATGGTGAATTTACCATAATGATATGATATATACTTTTTTGAAATTAAAGAAATTGTTACAATTTTGCTTATTATGTTAAAGAATCATCAAAATAAATAATTATTAAGCTGGCAAATAATAATAATAATAATATAAAATATATTTTATTATAGATAAATTCTAGTTGTATATATATCCTATGTTTTAAAATTTTATCATATTGTATTCGGATCCCCGTATCTGTATCCATATTTCATAGATGCACAACATATGATTTGTCATTTTTATCTTTCTTAGAATCGTGTGATTACATTTATCATTGTATCTCCATAGAACGTTATGTCTGAAAATATTTATAATATAAAACATGACAAATTATTCATTCGACAGGTTTCAAATAGACTTATTCAACGGCGATCAACATCCAAATTACCCATAGTCATAATTATATGTCAAGTCCCTTGAGGAATGAGGCAGCCTTTGAAGTAACTGTTGTTTGTGGTGTTTCAAATATAATAAAATCACCTATTGATATTTCTAATATTATGTAACTTAAAGTAAAACAAAATAGTAACAATAAAATACAAAACAGTTACACAGAACAGTAACAGTTACACGAAACTGTTTATCAAAACAAAATAAATACTAACTCGGTTGCAGAACATGAACTGTTATTAAATTTTAGGTAGATCGAGACTAATGTTTGACACTATGTCCTTAAGACATATTTCACCCCCAGACACAGTGCTTATGGAATATTGAGCATTTATCTTTCAGGATACAATGATATTTCACGAGCAGAAGTAGCACTCCAATCTACTCGTACGATGAACCAAAACTTATGTTGTGTGCGCTGTAAATTCACTGCCTTAATACCGAAAATGTTATGCACTAACGTATGACTTAACTCTGTATGGGGACTGATGTATTTAAATGAATTGAATTTGAATGGAAATGAACCTAGATATTTATAGACATTTTGGTGACTTTTCGGACAATCATCACATTAAAAGACACAATCCAGAAGATGAAATGCTACAGCCAAAAGACACATTGATTAACTATTCTCCATGAACAGACAAACCTTAAAATTTCGGACTGGACTCAAAGTTTCAGATAAATTTGAACTAGTGCAATTAATTAAAAGGATACTGAAAATTAAATTCGGATTAAGAAATTCTCGCCTATTAATTAAATGAATTTTATCCAAAAAGATAGGGATTGGTTTAACCCACACCTGAGCCCCGCCGGGTCGAGTCGTGACAAGGCGGGCGGCGCGTGTGGTCGAATCGAAGGCATGTAAGCGCTTGCTCCACTCATAAAATTGTGCTATCCCTTGAGGCCCGATCACAGAGCAAACTTGGCTTATATATGCCCATGTTAGAATTTATTATTTAGCCAATGTGGGATTGGTATCACATCCCACATTACACTTTCTTTTATTTTCACATTTTAAGAGGGTTACTTTAGAGGTTATTTTCTCATTCATTTCTTACTCGATTTGAGCAAGTGCATATAATACATTATTTTTCTCATAGAGTAGAATATGAACTCATGAAAATTTATTCAAAATAACTAATGGATCTCACTTTAATTTAAATTCAAAATCAACCAAAAATTTAATTTTTACACATAAAAAACTATTTTGATCCAACAAAAAGGAACCTGCTAGTCTGCTGCTATGATCTCTTTTGTGGGGGTGATGCTGTACTGTCTAAAAAATGGTATCTAAAAAAGGGACTGAATGACGTGTGCAAATTTCGAATTTTAAATTAGTAAAAGCATCACGATATTAGGGTTACTTTACTTGTTTCTTATTTTTTGTTTAGCCCCTGTACCTTGGAAACCTTACAATGCTGGCCAAGTTGATCAATGTCCCACACTCATGGTTCAAGTGATCGTGGAGAAAAAATTATACTTTGAAAGTGTATAATTTTTTTTTAAAATTAATCATATAATGCTTGAACGTGTTTTATGTCGACTTTTAATATCAATGCGTTTGGAATATTTATGACATGAATTTAATTATAATCAATCTTATTTTATAGTAAATACGAAATTAGTAAATACAAATATACATGCATGCGGAATGTAGATGTTGTGATTTGTCACCTTTTGAAAAATAATATGCAATATATTTTTTTTTGGAGATTTTAGAATAATTAATTACTAGCGTCACATTAGAACAGATTCAGTGTGATTTAGAACATATGAGTTAATATATACCTAAATTGATAAAACAAATTGGTAAGAGCTATTGTTATAAGAACTCATGTCAAACATGTAACGAAACACTATCAAGTGGCAAGTTGTATTGTAATTTGTGTTGCTTTTTTTTTATCGCTCAAACTCGTGACTCATCCATCAGCCCATTGTATGGAAACGGACCAATAGTACCACCACCCCTGAGCTAGAACACGCGCTGCACGATGACTAGGCTCTCTTTAGTGATAGAGAAAATTACGCCTCGTTTGTCATTTTATTACTTAAATTCTTTGACATTTAAAATATTATATATAAATTTTCTAAAATTTATATGTGAATAATATTTATGCCCCAAATATGAAACATACATATATCATTAATAAATTATACTTAGACCTCCTATAATTTATAAAAATATAATATTTAGACCCCTTAAATTTAAAATATTATACTTAGACAAAAAATACTTTATTAAAAGATAAAATATCAAATATTTTAAATTTTATAACTAAAATTCATGTTCTATTTATTGAAATAAAATTAAAATTAAAAATTTAATTTTTTTCTTAAAAAATTGTAATTAGGATACAATAGAATATGAATTTTGGATGTAAAATTCATGTTCTATTATGAATGACTTAGATCCTTTGTTTGATTTTTAAGATAGTATAATTGTATACTAATTATATTTTTTAATAAAAAATTAAAATTAAAATTTTAATTTTAATTTTATTTCAATAAATGTTACAATAGAATATGAATTTTGATTAGAAAATTAAAAACATTTGATATTTTATTTTTGATTGAAATATTTTTTGTCTAAATATTATATACCTATAAACTTTAAAGAGTCTAAGTATAATTTAATAACTAATATATTTATAGTATGGGCTAAGTGTCGAGTGTTATGCGCGTACAAACCTTGAAGAATTTGTGTGTAATATTTCAAATATTAGGGAATGTGAATGATTAAGTGACAAATTTTCGTGCGTGAAGATGTAATTCTTCCTCGGCTATATATATATATATATAATAAAACAGAAAGTGTGTTTGAATTTTATCTCAGTCATATTTTTCTTTCAAAACCATCATCGATCACTTACCTCACCTATCATCTATTTGTCAGACTCAAACGTCAAATCACATCACTCATTTCTATCACATATTTAATTATTTATATATTTTTTCCTTAAAAATATCACATCACTCATTTTTATTATATATATAATCATTTAATAGTTAATTAATTTTAAGTTAATATATTTTTAAAAAATTTAATATAATGAGTTCGATTTTTTGGACGCTCAAATTTTATATTTTATCGTACTTCAGTCACGGATTATGATTAGTCTATATATATATATATAAACAAACGCCTGTCTGTGAACTCAACCGTGACGAAGAAAGGGACAGAGGTGAGTTGACAGAGAGATGACTTTGGGGTTAATCAATGCGAACGCAGTGGTTCACGCCGTATGGTATCCTTCTTCTTTACTCTCTCTCTCTCTCTCTCAATTTTCATTTTTATTTAGCTAATTGGTTATCAGTTAATTTATGAATTGTACTTTAAATTGTGATCTTTGACTCTTGATACATTTTGTGAGGGATATAAGAGATCCGGAGCATCCGTATTCTTTAGAACAGCTCAGTGTTCTTTCGGAGGAGTCCATCACTGTCGATGAGAAGCTTGGGCGCATTTTGTAAGAATTACTTGTTTTAACAGCCTCTAATTTCCATATAGATTGTTTTAATTACAGATTTTGATTGCTATCTAATTTTGAGGCATTAAATGTATGAGAACATGGTAATTTTTAGTTTCGTTTATGTTCAATTCGTAAACGACGCCTTCTTATGGAGGGAGTAATCAGTTGTAATCTGATTGATAAAAAGTTAGAGAAACTGAAAAAATTGTTTATACATAAGAACTTCGTAATTCCACCTAAGTTTTTATAATATTAGATTTTCTTTCTTGTCCAGCAAATTTTAAAAAATGGAAAATCAATCTTTGATATGATTATTAGGTTTCTGACTCTAATTGTTTTGGTTTAAAAGTTTTGGAAAAAAGAAAGAGCTGAAATTTTGTTATGATTGTCTGGTCAGAGCTCAAGTAGAAAAGAAAACTGGTACAGCAAAATGTGTTTGTTTCTTAGGGAATGGAAAAATTTGCGCTAATCAAAATAACCCTTTGATGTTTGTGTTTGAAGTAAGAATGAAGATAAAAAAGAATAAAACATTCGATTTTTTCTACTTTTTCAGTCCATCTGTTGAGGCAACACTCAATGTCACGAATGTTGCCCTACTAGCTAATACTAGTTTTCACTACCACTTGCCAGTTCTTTCCATGACGCTTGCTCGACCTAGTACAGATGCACTGACCATCGGTATACCTGAACTTGCATGTGTCATCTCAGCGGTCATGCTGACTAGTTGCTATCACTGTGATCATTTTGTCTCCATGTATTGCTGAATTGGATTTGAGACCAATACCAGCACTAACACTAGCATACATCTCCTATTTTTTTTATCGGTAATTAGCTTGGTTTGGTTTTTTTTTTGTGCAATTGGTATCAATTATTATTTTTTTATTGGTAATTAGCTTGATTTTGAATTTTTGGTTTTTGTGAATAGTTTAGTTTTGAATGTCTATGAATTTTTTTTTACGAAATTTAAATATTTTTTCTTCTATAAAATCATACAAATGTATGACTAAGAAGTCCCGAAAATAACAATATCATATTTCACACATAACATTTAACAATAATAAAATCATGTCAAAACTACAAATTTTGAATAAAAAAGCACTGAAAATAACAATACACATTTAACAAATAACATTCACTCACACAAAAATGGTGATGGTGATTAGATTAATTTTGAATTTTTTTGTGTGATTGTAATTGGTTTTAATTGTTTTTTTTTTACTGATCACTTGTTATTTTTGTATTTTATTGGTGACTAGAGTGATTTTTATTTTGAGTCAACTTTTTCTATTAGAAATTCAACTAACTTTAAAAAAAATGAGTAATACCTGTTGATTTTTATTTATATTTAAGATTTTCTGTGATTTTGTGTTCAAAGAAAATAATAAAATATTTTATCATTTGGGTACTGATTATGGTCTTATTAAACATGCAAAGTTTGAGTAAATAAGCAATTAAAAATAGCAATACATGTTTAACATATAACATCTTTGTATGATGATAAATTTATATCAAAGCATGCACACCTAAACCAAAACAACAATTAATTAAAAAGAACAAATATTTAATGATAATCACACAAAAATTTTTAATATGAATTAAAAAGAACAAATTCATTACTACTTACCTGATGAAAAAAAAATGTGTATTTTGGTAAGGTGTAGATATGTGAGAAAATAATAATTAAATTGACAAAAATAATTAGTCAAAATATCACATACACTATAATTGAAATAGATTCAATTACAATACAAAGTAAGTAAGCAAGAAAGGAAGTGCTTACAATTATCAAAAATTTATAGAGAGAAGAAACTTGGAAACCAAAACACACACATGAACACACAAAAAAAAAAAAACCAAAACACACAATAGCACACACACATGAACACACTGTCAGACGCAGGAACACACACACACACACGAACACAAACACAAGCACACACATGAACCCATGAACACAGTGTCTGCCACGCTCTTTCTTCTTTACGCTTAACATTGGGCTCTTTTGAGATGACCTCATTCCAACCTCACTTTCATCCTACTGGTATGGGAATTTAAAGTGTTTAGTGTGTTGTGTGTAGCCCTGTATTAATTTGTTTATACTTCTGCAAGAACTTAACTTTGATGGATTTACTCTATTTTGTATGCTATTAATACAGTGAAACTTCAATTTCTACATAATCTTTGTATAATGATAAATTCATATCAAAGCATGCACAACTAAATGAAGACAAAAATAAATTAGAAAGAACAAATATTTAATGATAATCACACAACAAATTTTAAATATAAATTAAAAAGAACAAATTCATTACCACTTAGGTGAAGAATAAAATGTGTATTTTGGTAATGTGTAGGTCTTTGAGAAAAAAATAATTAAATTGACAAAAATAATTAGTCAAAATATCACATACACCACAATTGAAATAGATTCAATTACAATAGAAAGTAAGTAAGCAAGAAAGCGAGTGCTACTAATTATCAAAAATTTATAGAGAGAAGAAACTTAGAAACCAAAACACACGTGAACACCAAAAAAAAAAAAAAAACAAAACAAAACACACAATGATACACACAAATGCACTGGCAGACGCATGAACACACACACACATGAACCCATCAACACACATATTTGAAATAGACTATTCTGGGTTTGCTTTGTTCTTTACGCTTAACATTGGGCTTCTTTGAGATGACCTCATTCCAGCCTCACTTTCATCCTACTGGTATGGGAATTTAAAGTGTTTAATGTGTTGTGTGTAGCTTTGTATTAATTTGTTTATGCTTCTGCAAGAGCTTAACTTTTATGGGTTTACTCTATTTTGTATGCTATGAAAAAAAAAAAATACAATGAAACTTCAATTTCTACATAATGTTTATGGGTTTTGTTCCATCTAATGGGTTCTTCACGTTTTTTTTATACTATCAGTATGCCAACATGTTTGACTTGCAAGCCACCAATCTGGGTCCTATGGGTATTATACTTAACTTAGGGATGAAGGTTTTTTTTTTTTTTTTTCTCTTTGATTTTTGCATTACCCTTCTTGCCCCGACTAGCTCCAACTCTAATACTTAAGGGGAAACACTATATTACACACATGAACACATTCTGAAAAATTAAAAAAACAGTAATGCAGGCAAACACATGAACACATTGGCAGACAACACACACACACATGAACAAAGCACACACACATGCAGGGACACACATGAACACACAGCCACACACACACACGCACAGTTAGAGAGAGAGAGAGAAAGAAAGAGAAGATCTAGAGAGAGATACCTGGAATGCTTGCAGTGGGTTATTCAGTGGGTTTTAGAGGCGCAAGTAGAGACAGAGAGGAAGGGAGAGAGGGAGAGAGAGAGAGAGTTGGTGGGTGAGATAAGGAGGGAGATTTAGATGAGAGATAAGGAAGAGAGAGATAGAGGTGCCGGGTGAGGAGAGTTGGTGGGAAAATGGAAGATGGGTTTTATGGGGTTCCATGTTCTTGCCTTCAATCATTCCTCACGTTCAATGTACTCTTACGTAAACCAAATGGGTTAATTTGATGGGTAAATTTAATGAGTTGCTGATCATTAAAAAATGGAAGAGAGGAGGGAGAGTGCATCGGAGAGAGAAGAGAGAGAGGGAAAAAGAGTTATTGTATGAGATAAGAAGATAAAGTTGAAGGGGGAGATGGGAGTTTGTATTGTTACTATGAGATAAGGGAGGAGAGTTGGATGAGAGATATGAGTGTTAAAAAAATTTGGTACGAGGATCATTGGAACAAAGGTCTTGAAATGATTTGTGCTGCGAAAAACTCAAGACAACATTCTTAGTTATTTTATTATATAGATATGTGTGTGTGAGAGAGAGAGGGGGAGAGAGAAATAGTCATAATCTATGTATGTAAATTGATAGATATGAAAGATAAAGAATTTGAAAAAAATTTATTCACACTCCCTATAATTAAGTCTAAATTCAATGACACTCCCTCTCAATTTTGAAACTTCATTACACATCCTTTTGCTTTATACTTTCGAACCATTAACACCTCTTTTAAAGAATGGTTTCTTTTGCTTCTGTCAATTAATAAAATAATGATTTGACTAAATATTTTGTTAAAATATCAAGATTGCCCTTTGTTATGTAAATAAACTAAAATGCCCACAATCTTTTCCCCATTATATATATCTTAGTCAGTCAGTAAGCGTGATTTCTATCATTATATTATCTCAATGAATTTTTAACATTTTAAAACATTGCATGATAATTTTGTTATAATATTAGTCATCATATTATCACCCATTTTGTTACATAATCAAGTTTTTATAATTTTTATACTTAAAAATAATTTTTCTATAATAAAAATTACAATCGATAAAGTCAATGTCAAAATTTCATCAATTTTTAACTTTTCTGTTATTGTCTGTCCTCCACAATGTCATCCAACCACTCTTCACATATCACATTTTACATATAAAATTAAATATTATTTAATAAAATTTAATATTAATTGAATAAATTTGATCCTAATTTGATAAATTTAAATATTAATTTAGATATTAATATTAGTCAAACTCCTAAAATTTAAGAGTTGTTAATTTTCAAACTAAATTTAATTAAAATATAACTATTAGGGGCATTTTGGATAGTAAGAATCAAAACGGACTTATTTTTAAACAAATTTTTTGAGTCAACTTAAATTTAAATAAGTTCATAAAAAGGGAACGACCTCTAAATTTTTCTAATTTAATATAATATAATCGACATCCCATCACGAAATTTCTGCTCAATTAATACTGCTAGTTGATGGTGTGGTCCTCCTCATGCAAAAAGTAATCAAAAGTTCTCCAAATAACATCATATCCTCTCACACTGACGTGATCGCTTTTGTTAACATTTGTAAACCTTTATTTTTATTGGATCATTTTGATTTACATTATAAACTTAAAATATAAACTATTATAATGAAAAAAAATGATTATCAGAGTGAAACCGAGTGCATATTTCAAAGACTATTACTATATATTGCTTAAAAAGAAGACGCAGGGAAACTAAAGATCAAAAGTATTGTAGGTTTAAATAGTATCGAAAAAAACTATGGCCCTTAGGACAAATCTTATGGAGAAACCAAAGATTTTTCGAACCTTTGAACTTGGAAGAGAGATTAACTTGCCACCTCCAGTTCTTCTTCGTCGTATTTATTTGCCTCTGGATTAATCTGAAGTAGATTCTGCAAATTTCTAATTTCTTGCTTCATGAACCTCATTTTAGGTGGCTTAATGTCTTTTTCGGGTAGGACTACGATACTTAAAATTATTTTTATGGTATCATTTTTTGGGTTATGTAATAAAATTTTTGAGGCGAATTAAACCAAAAATCATAATATCGAATATCGTATCTTCTTCGATACCTCTAACCACGTAGACTCTTTTTTTTATAATGCTTTCGGAAGTTCAAAAGTGTCCATGCTAGCTTCCCCTAGCCTAACTTTTTAGATCCATCCCTTCTACGCTATCAAATACTTTAACATGAATTATATAGCCAAAAACACTGTTTCCCTTTGACTTCATTGCTTTTGAAGGCTGCAAATCAATTGGTAATAACACAACTAATCTAATTAAATAAACAATTCTGACTAATCAATAATTAAGCAAACATACAAACCGGCTTGATTAAGTAATTGACTTGAATGATTAAGAAGCAAAGTAAAATAGTTTATTGATATATATTCATATGGAAACAATAAACTGTGGTTTCAAATGGTCAGTATTGGATGCTTTAGGTGTGCCTACGTTCTATCACATACCTGCTCCTTATTTAAGGTATTTTCTGATACAAAAGTTCTCAACGTGTAGATTTTGTATTGACGAGGAGTCCACAACAATATATTCTATAATTAATATAAAATTGATACAATTGAAAGAAGAATATATTTATCATAGATCTTGACATGTATGATGACCACAATTTTAGGGTAGTCGGCATATCTTGCCGTGTTGTATAATGTTTTGAAATGGTGTCAGTCGAGCCTTGTCCAAATTTGTTCAATGTGTATTTAGTTTATTGATGCTTTTGTATTCTTTGGTTCATATCATGTATAACCGTGTTTAGTCAGGTTTATTAACTTATTTATTTGGCGAGTTGTTGATGGATCTATTTTTTTTTTTTTTTGCACAAACTGCTATGGTTTAAACTCAAACTCCATTTGTTCTATCACAATTTTGGAATTGTTTTCAAAGGTTAACACAACATTTACACTATCCTAGCAATGTCAACGTGGTATAATTGTCCCATAATAAGTGAATAAATAGATAAGTAAAACCCACAAATTTCAATAACAGCCCATCCATATAATGTGCACCACTCCGTGTGAAAAAAGAGGTTTACTTTATTCATTTTTTAGGTTTTTTATTAAATTGTGACATCACGTAACACTTTTAATGCTAAAATGGTAGAACTGTTACACGCAATATTTGCTCTAAAAATTTATTGTTCTACACATTTTTTGCATTTTATTACTTAGGTATGTATATTATATTATTTGTGCCCACCCACAATCAATGACAAAAATATTAATGTACACTTATATCAAATGAATAATTTTAATTATGTTCTTTCTATTTATTTTGGCACATCAATTATTGTATATTTATATCAAATGAATATAAATTTTTTGACACATTTTGGGCTAGTTATGTACGTATCTAGATAAATTTTGAATATACTAGAATTATTTTATATTTTCTAAGACTAAAAAAAACATGATATATATATTTGCTAGTTTACTTGTAATTTTGGCATTTATTTTTGCTAATTATGGTAAAAATTATAGAGCGCATATTAAACTGCATAATCGATCAAATGATTTATAAATACCAACATGATAACATGATTATGTATCTAAAGAATAATAAAATTGTAATACAACGTTTTAAAAGTACAAAAATTCACCGAAGTTAATTCTAAATGATTTTAATTAGTTAATATTTTGTAAAAAAAATGTTATCGTTTGTATATACTAGGCTTACCAAATTTCGGTATGGTTGGTTTAATAAACTTTTAAATATTAAATAGAATGTAATTAAATAAATTATTGTCCTATTTCTATCAATTGTAAGAAAATAATAATAATTTATTGAAATATTCATAATTAATAAAAAAATAATAATAATTTGTTAAAATATTCACGCATGTCCTGACACAATTTTTTAACTCCCGCCCCGATGGCAAGCAGTGCATTATATATATGCAACAAATGACATGGTAACATTCAAGTTACAAAATAACACACAAGAGAGTTCAAACTCAGAAAATGGAGTGGATGTCTAGTGCGCTTATTTGGTTGAGTGTTTCTTTCTTGGCTTCTCTTCTTCTACTATTCAGCTGGACAAGGGCAACGAAGGGCTCTACAAAACAGAGACCACCAGGGCCACCAGGATGGCCAATTGTTGGCAACATGTTCGATCTAGGAACCATGCCACACCAGACCTTCTACAAATTAAGGGCCAAGTATGGACCTGTTCTCTGGCTAAAGCTTGGTTTAGTAGATACTATGGTCATACAATCTGCCAAGGCAGCTGCTGAGTTGTTCAAGAACCATGACCTTCCTTTCTCTGACCGCAAAGTTCCCGAGGCACTCACGGCCTCAGGCTACAACAAAGGATCATTGGCTATGGCCAGATATGGCCCGGATTGGCGCATACTACGACGACTCTGCTCCATGGAGCTCTTGATTAACAAAAGACTCCACGAGTCGGCTCCAATAAGGCAAAAGTGCATTGACAAGATGGTGGAGTGGATAGAGGAGGATTCAGCATCGTCGCGTGCCCGGGGTGGATCGGGTGGTGTGGAACTAGTTAGGTTCCTTCACATCATGGCTTTCAACCTTGTTGGGAACCTTATGCTGTCAAGAGATCTCTTGGACATGCAGTCTGAGTCAGGGGAAGTGTTTTTCGAATCCATGAACATGTTCATGCAATGGGCTGGGAAACCTAATGTAGCAGATTTTTTCCCATTCTTGAAATGGCTCGACCCCCAAGGGATCAAGAGGAATATGGCCCGCCATATGGGACGATGCATGAAGGTCGTCGCTGGATTTGTTGATGAGAGGGTTCATGAGAAGGAATCAGGAAGAGAGAAGGTAAAAAAAGACTTCTTGGATGCATTGTTAGAGTATGAAGGTGATGGAAAAGAAGGGCCTACCAAGATTTCAAAGAAGAACATGAACATCATAATCCTGGTAATACAATGCTAACGCCCTTCTGTTGTTAATAACTCTTACCGAAAGTTACTATTTTTTGACGATAAGTTACACGTTTTCAAAATAAAATTTCAACTACTTGAAGTGATTCATGATCTATTATCACCAGCAAAAAAAAAGATTCATGATCTATTATGAAGTGTTGTGATAGATCATGAATAGTTCTTAATTAATTAGAACTTCAGATTTTAAAGGTGTAACTGTATCTTTAAACCAAACAAAGTATTATTTACTTGGATTGTGTCAATAGGTGATCAAGAAGGCGCATGGCTTAGGTTGGTGACTTCTATTGCACTTGGGAGGAGTGTATGCCTAGGGTCTATCAAACTGGTGGAGCCTATGTCATAATTTGTCGCAATGGGGGCTGAGTTTGGGCAGTCCCTATTATATATATATATATATATATTAACAAAAAATATAGTGATAGTAAATAAGAAAGAATATTTGAAAAATGGGCAAAGTTTATGAATGAAATAAGATGTGAAATCTATTTATTTGACTATTTAGAAAACCATTAAAATCAGTCAAAGTAGTAACAAAACATAAATGAAAAAAAGAAAATACCTCTACAGTATCTTCAAGCCATCCCCCAACAGAAACCTAATTAATTAGTCAAAGGATCATGAAGTAAAAGCCTCACCATTTAAGATACCAGTCAATGAATCTGCAAAAAAAATAATTGAACGAAATAACTTTACCGATCAACGTTTAACAACAATTGATAAACAGTTAGATAAAATTGAAACTAAAATTGATGAAATCAAGCTAAGTAAAAAATTAGAGAAACCTCTAATTCAGTTACCAGAAAATAAAAGTAAACTTGGAGTTTCAGTAAAAGATAGCCACATACTTCAAAAAATTGAAGTAGTGATCCAAAAAATGGAAGCTATAGCAAAACCATCCTAAGTAAACACTATTAATCAAAATGATGAACAAACCTCTGAAGACAGTCAATCTACAGAAGCAAGTGCATCAAAAAATTCTACTGATTCTGAAATTAAAGAATTAGAAGAACAATTTAGTAGTCAAAATCTTAACAAATTAACATTTTCAAAAGTCAATCCAACTAGTACCACAAAAAATTAGTATTCCAAACCAACACCTCCTGATCTTCAACTTGAAGAAATGAACGCTAGCAACCAATTCTCAGTTTTATATATATATATATACACACACAAAGTTAATCGTAATACAGACCCATACTACTGCTAAATTTATAATTAAGTTTAACTCAAAGACATGAAACATTAAGAGAGTTGAAGATGGAAGTATAACCACTTAAGAAGATATATTAAGAGAGTGGTGGGATAATTATTTAAGTTTAACCCAAAGACATGAAACATTAAATGCAGCAAAAATTATAACAGTTGAAGATGGAAGTATAACCACTTAAGAAGATGTTGTTTATATTTTAATACAAACAATATTAAAACACTTTGTAGAAACAAGCTTACAAAATATCAATAAGAGTAAAGAACTTTTAATGAATCTACGATGTCTCACATTAACGCATTTTAAGTGGTATAAAGATGTATTTTTGGCAAAAGTCTTATTAAGAACTAACACTAATAATAAATTTTGGAAAGAAAATTTCATATCAGGATTGTCTAACTTATTTGCTAAAAAAATAAGAATTTGTTTAAAATAAAGACATGAAAGATTTAAAATCTCCTATGAGAGCTACACTTTCGGAAAATTATATTTATATATATATATATATAGAAGATGTAATTTTCATAATTGATCATTCTTTTCGCAGTTGTTACTTTTAACTTAAAATGTTGTAACTTGTTTTTAAAAAGTTAAAAAGTTTTGGTACATTAACGAAGTTGTCTAACTAGTTTGGATAACATATAACTAAAGTTCTAATGGTACAGGAAATGTTTTTTGCTGGATCAGAAACTACAAGCATCACCATTGAATGGGCAATGACAGAGCTATTACACAGACCTGACTCAATGAGGGAGGTTAAGGAAGAGCTTGATCGAGTCATAGGACCTAACAGGAAGGTCAAAGAGAGTGACATGGATAGGTTGCCATATTTGCAGGCAGTTGTGAAAGAGACCCTCCGATTGCATCCCTCTGTTCCTTTAATGCTTCCACGGAACACAATGCAAGACACAAACTACATGGGCTATCTCATACCCAAAAACACACAAGTGTACGTAAGTGCATGGGCAATTGGAAGAGACCCTGATGCTTGGGATGACCCTTTGAATTTCAATCCTGAGAGGTTTTTAGGCTCTGATATTGAGTACAAGGGGCAACACTTTGAGTTGATTCCATTTGGCTCTGGAAGACGAATTTGTGTAGGCTTTTTCTTGGCTTATAGAGTGCTTAACCTTGCTCTAGCCACCTTGCTACAGTCTTTTGATTGGGAACTTGATAGCTATATGACACCAGAAACTATGGACATGAAGGAGAGGATGGGACTAAGTCTGAGGAAACTAGTTCCCTTGAAAGCAATACCCAAAAAACGAGTCGAGTGAAGTTGAAATGATTGCAGCCAATCGGAAATGTGCTCAAACTCTTGCTGGATTAAAAAAAACCTATGGACATGAATGAGTGTGGTTTGGTGTGTTCTCCTCATTTTCGTTGTCGTGTGCAAAATGATAGTATGATAGCATCAAGCTTTTTATGTGATTGGTGTCCATCACATCAAGCATTTCTTCTTAGTTTTCTCTGTGTTTCGTATAAACCTATGTTCCTTTGTGCAATTTGAACCTTCTTTAACCTAAATATCTATATTTTACGTCTAAAATGCCACACTTGAAATATACTACTTTTGACCTTGCATGAAGATATTGTAAGTTTTGGCATATCTTCAATGTATGTTTCAAATGTAATAGTTATTGAAATATATGAAAGAAATGATAATAATTTACACGCAACTTCTATTCTTTTAAGATAAGGCACCGAAATCCTACGTAAGCATCATTTGCTTGTTGTCAAAAATAGGTTGTCCGCTTGTGTAGTTCCTTTCTTATACGTCTCAAAAGACCGATAAATTAACAATATAATCAGCCTTTTCAGTCAAATCTGATACATACATTACAATGATCAGTGCCCATATTTTGGATTAGAACCATCCAATTGACCCCCCCCCCCAATTACTATATTAACTGTTCTAACAAGCCTCGCACAAAAATTGATGATGCACAAAACTGTCTTCGTGCAAGATCAACAGTCAAGTATGTGTAATGGTGTAATTAATGAGTGACAAACAAACAATCAATGACAATTAAGAGTAAAACAGTAAATAATAGATCAACACAAGGATTTATAGTGGTTCGGTTCGAGTGACCTACTCCACTCTCGGGAACGACAGCGGTGGCCTGATATTCTTTATTGATGAATCATGGTCTCCGGAGAGTTACAGTGCTTTTGAGAGAGAGAAAGAGAGAGATGTGTGTAGGGATCTCAAGGTTATGAGAGTCTCTAGAAGGTCTTTGGAGGCGTTGGAGGCCCTTGCCCTTCATGTTGAGAGAGCTTACATTATATAGTTAGGGTAAGGTAGCAGAGGCGGTGACGTAAGGGAGAAGAATTCTATTACTTTGGCAAGTATTGTTATGGTAGGAGATCTTCTATATCTATATCCATATTATCTTCCCTCGTGCTCCTATTCATCTGGTGGAGAACATTAGTTGAACTTGAACCTGGACTTGTCTTGAGTAGGCTTGGCTTGGACCTGGACCTGGACTTGTCTTGGACCTGGACCTGAAGCACCAAGGTGAGGAGGATCAAGAGGAAGGGCGCCCAAGGGCTGCCATGGGCGGCGCCTAAGGGTCTGCCTAGGCGGCGCCCAAGGGCTCCCTTGTCCTCCTCCTCCTTCGGCCGTTGGCTTTTGGTGTTGTCCTCTTGGTGTCCTCCTCGATGGGTTGACAATGGATGCTTCTTTGGGCTTTCTTGATTTATCTAAATTGGACTTGGCCCAGTAAAATTCGGGCTCATCATTTGCCCCCCATGCCTCAAGCCTCTGACTTTCGGTGAGAGGAAAAGGTTATGGGCATGTGCTACAACTTCACTTGAGTAAGTCGAATTTTTCTTGTATTTTCTTCGGTACCACAACAAGTTCATGGGAACTAGGAGTTCAAGCAATTGTGGAGGAGAGAAGCGAGGAGGAGTCCACACCCTTGATATCATAGGAGTCTCCCATGGAGGTGTTTTGGGCGGTGCTCACATTGGAGATGGGAGAGGTGAATAGAGCTTCAATGGTGCTCTCTTGGAGAAGTAGCTGAAGAGTCCAAGGAGGGAGCACTTGGTGGGCGACACCCATGGTGTACATGTGAGCTGCTGGGTGGTGCCCATATGGCTGAGGTGGGCACCCAAGAGATAGGCACTTAAGACCACGACGCAGGCGACCAAGGCAAAAGGTAGACGCCCAAGGCAAGAGGTAGGCTTCCAGGGCCAGGAGGTAGGCGCCAACACCTTGCTAGGCGGCGCCTTCTTTGCTGTGGACCTCGGTATGGCATCAAATGTAAGGGGAGACTTGGTGGGCGACACCAACTTGACAGGCTAGGCAGGAGCATTTCAGATGGCTTTGGGCACCTCTTCTAGGCGAGAGAGAGAGTTGGACGGCGATGATGGAGGTGGAGGTTCTTTGTGTTGTCTTCTCCTCTTCCCAAGAGGGTGATGTTTGATGCCTCCAATGCTTCTCGGTCAAGGTCCGATTGTCAGGTTGCTTCCTGGGAGATGGGTCCCGGTGGTGCCCCCACGTTTTTTTAGCCTGGGAACTTCTGTGCTAGCCTTTGTACTGCTATAGGAGTTGGGACTCCTGTGCGGTCTTCTATGGGGACTATAGCTCCACATAACTGTCCTATTTTGACTTGACATTGGTAAACGAGAGGCTTTGGACCTCAGGGATATCAGAGAGGCAGGTGCAATGGTTGCTGAAGAGCAAGTAGGGCTCGAGTGACAGGCACAAGAGGATGCCATGGAGTAGTAGGACTCGGGCGACAGGCACGAAAGGATGTTGTGGAGCAAGTAGGGCTTCG